GCATGACCTATGTGTAGCAATGATAATGATCATCAGCGAACATAAAATCAAGCCAATAACGGAAAATATAGATGATATTGTATAATTTACAGTAAATAATAACTCGCTAATCATGTCTCCCAGCAAGTATTATTTTCATTTACATCTCGATATTTATATATCATCACAGATTCTCTGAAATGAAGAAAAAATATTTATAACAAATGCATTTATCATTTTATTTCTTTCATTTATTATCAAAATTGGTGTTTGTGTAACCATGCATTCTTTACTGTTGATATAATATGACAATCACTGTCAAGCAGGAATAACATCTCTATAGATCAACCATGAATTCCTCGTCATTCATAAAAACAAGAAACAGCGTATTCATGAATACTCATCAAAACTCTCTTTCATTTATTTAACCATTCAAGTGCATCTTTTTTTTAAGGAAGAAGATCTCAACAATGTCTTTATCTAATCATTAAAACAGTTGTTTATACCATTACATCATTAATTTATCATAATTTTGTCACGAAAAGATCTATGATAAAAGTCTCTCCAAAGATATAATAACGTTTTGATGTGTTTTTCGGAGAAAATGCTCAATAGGACTGCTCGCTACGTTATTGTTCGAATGAAATAGATTTTGAAGATTCAAGCTTCGAAAACGATGTAAAACGTATTTCAAAGGTTTCATTTTTGTCCTCAATGAGCCTTACATCACCACCATTTGGTCGTTTTTATTTTTATTTCAATTATAACACTTTGACAACATAGGCGTTTTCTCAGACAACAAAAAATTTTTTTTTCTTTCCTTTTATTAATGAAAACTTTTTTCTGGAAGCGGAGACTAGAATGTAATAAAAATAGGTTAGATAAATTATTCTTATATAAAAGAATGAAATGAGCAGTGGAGGTAATTTGAAGTTTATGTCTTTTTTTATCATGTTTTATCGATTCTTTACGAGCATCGATAGACACAAGAAAAAAGAAAAAGATACAATGAAAAGTGGACAACTCATCTTATTGACTTAATACTATGTTATAATTTCTGAGTTGGATGACTTTACAAATCTGACATGAAGCTGGAAGAGTATTTTACTAAAGCAAACTACTTATCTACAGTAAATGAAACCTTTTTTAAGTTGTTGATGAGCGCTGTGGATTTTGGCTATCCATTTTGCTTAGTGGTATACACCATATAATGACAATTTATGTAAAACTTGAAAAACACATCACAGTGTAACTCAAATAATTTAATCATCTCAGGAGACGACTTTAGGTCGGCTAACAACAAACTATAGAGTCGGTAACGCGATACACTTTATTCTGTCATTAACTATGCAGTAAACTTAAAGTGGTGAGAAAAACATCGAAGATTATACTAGATGTGATTGATTTTCATTTATAAAAATTTATTAGATCTTAAAATAAATTTGAATTTATTTCACATGAAAATGTAAATTTATTGTTGTGTCTTTTTTTACTCAGCGCATTAAAGCTTCAGAGAAATATCCAATTTTTCATGTTTTAGCAATCGACATAATTTTGACTTTTACATCATCAAAAAGAGCAGAAAATTAGCGTTTGAACGCGTTAGCCAAATAAACACGTTAAAACGTAAAAAAATAGTACATCTCTCAAAAGTTTTAATGGGGTGTGAATGTGAGTGTAAGTATGTCTGAGTTTAAGTGGACAAGAATACCCCCACCCTCACATCATAGACACTCGTTCAAACTATCTGAAAAAAATATCAACAAATTTCATGATAAACAGATAAGAATTATGATGGAATATTGATCCACCATTTAATATGATACTGAACTCATACGGTCGACCTGTTTTTCCTAATTATCGTGCAGCATTTCTTTTTTCTCTGATTAAATTATTATTATTTCATAGCTTTGTTAATTTTGATTCTTTATCTTAAGATATTTTTTTTTATCTAACTATTTTTATGTGCAAAAAATTGAGTCCGAATACGTGTAGTATTATTACCAATCCTGTTTTTCTCTAAAACATTTTGTATTCAAGAATTTCTTGCCTTCTTTTGAAGCTTATGAACTTTAATTCTATTCTGTTGTACATCTACTAATCATAACCTGAAATAAATTTTAAAAGAAATAAATTAATCTAATCATGCTGAACAAGAAAAGTTTTTGAATAAGCAAGTGAAAAAAAAAACTCATTGTAATCTAGAGATTTAGAGTAAATATTTTTGTCAGTTAGATGTGAATAAACATCAGATTTATATTTTAATGTAATAAACCGGCAGTATCTGTATTTGGTCTTATTCACCAACGAACACCATCATCAGAACTGATTTTTCCAACTTGTATTAATAGTTATTTGATTCTTTTATTCTCTTGATAGGATGCGAGTATGAGAACCTGTGGAGATCTTTTCTTTAATCATAACCATACCCTTTTGTAGAAAGAACAAAAAATAACAAAGATCTGATAAAGTATGAATACACACATATGTTCATTAGTTAATAAATTAGGGAACTATTATTAGTAAAAGAGAAACATGTTTCTGTTTTTTCTTCTTCTAAATTTATTCTCAAGTAAATACTTAAGTATTTCTTTTTATACTAACAATTATAATTTTCGACCCAGTTTTTTGCTTAAAATGTAGCACGTACTACCATTGTTGAATGCATTTTGAATTCCTACCCTTCTATAGGAATGCAAGGATTTTAAATCAATAATGTTCGTGTTCATCAATTTTTTATTAAATGCAGGTCGCTGTAAATTTTTTTATATTATCATAACATATATATATATTCTATGTTATTGAGATAATTGAAATGGATTTTGTTTAACATATCAATAAATATATCAAATAGACAATCGATTGCTAAAAGTGAGTGCTTATATTGAATGCGTAGTAAATAAAATTTCTACAACGAGCTGCTAACAAAGCATCATCAACTATGAGAATGATTCAGAATTTTATTAGAAAATTCATTAGTAATTATAAAATTAATATATCAGGAACAAACGGTTTTATTCATATCAAAGCATGACTTTGGATAAAATCAACAATTCTTAATGCTATTTATAAATATGAGAAAAAGAAAAAAAATGATAAGATATCTAAGTCTGAAGCATATAAATAGTCATTAATATATATGTTCATTTATCATTGAGATTCAAAAGTTTATAATGTTTCGTACAAAATATCTATTCTATTTTATTCTCATACATTTCATCATTGCTACACCTCAAATCAACCTTCATTTTACGGATTTGACCAATGAAAATGAAAGTAGTGATGTATTACAACATAATTGCTTGCGTGTTGCTGCTTTTATGGGCACATCAAGATTGGATCGTGAAATTATAACTTATTGTATGAATGATTTGCCATCGAAATTTGATATTGAAAATGATAATATCTTTCCGAAGTTTAAGTTTAGTGAACTTTCACAACAGAATATTACTAGTCAACAATTATACATATGGTCAGCACCAATCGATATTATTGAACGTTATCAGTTTTATTTAGATCAATTATCAGCATCGTATGATAAGTCTATGGAAACACAAGTTTTCTACAATTGTACATTACCAAGATTTGGTCCTATGTGTCAATATGAAATGATTGTTTATGAGCAAAACTACATGTCATTGTATGATATTATTGTTGGTTATTATCGTGCATATGGATATAGACCAACCAAATTGACTTGTTATACGCATTTAGAATGTAATCGTGGCTCTTTCTCAGCATGCTTAGATTGGAGTGACATTTGTAATGGATATGTAGATTGTGTCGATGGTGGATCTGATGAAGAACATTGTTGGCAACTTGAAATCAATGAATGTAATGATAATGAATATCGATGCCATAATGGACAATGTATACCAAGGGAATTTTTCAGAGATGATACTGGATCTCCTGATTGTATTGATAGCTCTGATGAAATTTTAGAACTTTCTCAACATGTTTACCAATGTACAATACAGCAACCGTCATTTGAATGTGAAGAAAAAACATGTAAGAGGACGTTCCTGACAAGTTCTTGTGTGGAACAGCGCGAATATTTACTATCAGAAGCAATCTATTCGACAACATACAATTCTACATTTGACCAATGTTGGGTAGCTTCGAAATGCATATTAAAGGTACCAAATTCAAATAGATCATTTTGTCTTGAGCTTTGTGAAGAACAAGGCTGTGGAGGATATTGTGGACAAGTAGGATGTACAAAAATCATTCAAAATACGTGTCCGGATATGTTTTATATTCCAAATGTTCCACTTATTTTTGGTGAAATCTACATAGTACATACAAACAATACTTTATATTTTTTGTCCGAGTTATATCATGCACAAAATTATATTTGTCCCACCAATTCTCATTATGATGAGTTTTTTATTAATCGTTCAACCATTATTTTCAATAATAGAACGTGTTTTCATTTTGACGTGAAACCTGTATTTAATATGCTTGGAACTCCATGGCATTGGTATTATCTAGTACCTTTACATAATCTAGTCCAACAACTGAAGAAATTCAATATAATTAGTAGTCATAATTCTGCAATTTGCGATAAACCAAACAGTTACCAATGCATTAATTCATCGAAGTGCATCTCAAAAAGTCGTCTCATGGATAATTACTTTGATTGCCCTCAACAAGATGATGAAATCTTTACCATAGTCAATAGAACCGGCTTATCAAACATTTTTGCAAACCATTTCAAATGTGAACTATCCAACAAATACATTCATCAATCTTATGTTAAAGATAGACATTGCAATTGTCCGATACATAATCCTGATTGGTGTGAAGACGAAGATTTCGATGTTGACTTCGTTAGAAAGGATATTTCATTTCAGACTATTTGTGATGGGTTTATTGAATTATATCCAGTAAATATCGATGGAAAAAATGAAACAGATGAAACAGAATGTGAACAATGGCCCTGTAAGAATATCTATACTCATTGTGATGGAATATGGAATTGTCCAAATGGCGCAGATGAAATTGGTTGTTATTTATCTCCAACACTAAATTGTTCTTCAGATCATCACATATGTATTGAACCTATCACACATGAACTTATGTGTCTTCCTATTACGAAAGCAAATAATGGTGTGATTGATTGCCTTGGTGCTACTGATGAACCAAAATTATGTCAAAGAGATTACCAAGTAGATCTGTATCAAAACTTTTTATGTAGCACTGCAAAATCCCGTTCCTGCATTAATTTGAATCTACTATGTAATGGGTACACAGAATGCACACATGAAGAAGATGAGAAAATCTGTGTAAAAAATCAATCTAATGTTTCTTTGTTTCCAACAAAATGTAATTCAGGGTATGTAGAGATGCTTTCTGATGTTCGACATTTTCTATGCTACGAAATACAACGAAAGGAAAAACAGCAACCTAAATATTTGTCGTTAAATGCATCGAGAGAAGTCGTCGAAAATCACAATGAAAATAAAGTCAACTCTGTCAATTCACGTTCACCATTCTTTGAAATATATCCTCAACGTGAGTATGAATGTCATCGTGGTTTAGGTTTACGTGTCTGGTTAAACGATACAAAGAACTTAACAACATATGCATGTCTTTGTCCACCAAGTTTTTATGGTGAACAATGTCAATATCAAAATCAACGAGTAAGCTTGACTATTAAATTTCAAACATTATCAGATTCTTTGTCAACATTATTTGCAATAATTATTTCGCTTATTGATGATAGTGAAGAAAGAATTATTCATTCACATGAACAATTCACTTATTTATCGTCAAGGGATTGTAAAGTTAAATTTAATGCTTATCTTCTCTATTCAACCAGGCCAAAAAATCAAACAAAAACTTATCTAATACATATTGATATTTATGAAAAATTTTCATTGAATTATCGCGGAAGTTTATTATTTCCGATAAAATTTCCATTTTTACCTGTTTATCGTCTAGTATTAATAGCTGTTATTCCACGGAAGGATGCCAAATATCCAAGATGTTCGAAATCTCAATGTGTTCATGGCAAATGTATGATTTATTCAAATCAACCAGAAAATGTTACTTTTTGTCAATGCAATCAAGGATGGTCTGGACGCTTCTGTACTATTCCACATACTAGTATGTGTTCATCTGATTCTATATCTATTGGTTTATCTGCTTACAATCGATCTATATGTGTTTGTCCTATAAATAAATTTGGTCCTTGCTGCTTGCTTATTGATAGTATTTGTCAAACAAATAATAATTTAACATGTCAAAACGGTGGTCAATGTATACCAATGGATGAGTATACAGAATCCAATCAAAAATTTCTATGCATCTGTCCTAAAGGTTATATTGGAGATCTATGTGAACTAATTGATAACAAATTAATTATTAAATTTGAACACGATGTTGCTTTATCTCAAACAATAATGATTCATTTCATTAACATTATTAGAAATGCTGCACCGATACGGACAACGACTCTTCGAACAATGCCTCTTACACAAATTTCACTTACAATTTATTGGTCAAGGCCATTTCATATTGTTTTTGTTGAACTTCAAAATAAAATTTATTATTTAGCAGTCGTTCAAAAAACTTATCAAAGATCAATAACAACTACAACAATTATCAATAAGTCAGATCGTTGTCAGCATATTAATGAATTGTTCAATGAAACATTTGTTAAACTGAATCTTCTTCGTCGTATTAAATATTATCATCTACCATGTCAAAACCTATCAACCAATCTAACCTGTTTTTATGATAATCTTCATCTTTGTTTCTGCTATGATTACCAACAACAACGTTTAGCTAATTGTTTTAAATTTAATCATGATATGAAATTTGATTGTTTTGGTCAAAGTGTCTGTGAAAATGAAGGTAAATGTTTTCAAGACACTCCCGATTGTCCACAACGAGCAACATGTATTTGTTTACCTTGTTTTTATGGAGCACGATGTCAATTTATTTCAACAAGATTTGGTCTATCACTTGATGCTATTTTAGGTTATCATATTCAACCGAATAACACTTTGAGACATCAGTCAAATATTGTAAAAATTAGTTTAGTATTAACTATAATCTTTATGATAGCAGGATTTATCAATGGAATTTTATCTTTTATAACGTTCAACAATAAAACTATATGAGAAGTTGGTTGTGGTTTGTATCTATTAGGTTCATCGATTACGACTTTGTTTACAACAATTATATTTGGATTGAAGTTTTGGATACTTCTTCTTGCACAAATGACAATTATATCAAATCCTCTATTTTTACGTATTCAATGTATATCTCTTGATTTTCTTTTAAGAGTTTTTCTTAATATGGATCAATGGTTAAATGCATGCATTGCTTTAGAACGAGCAATAACAACATTAATGGCTGCTGGCTTTGATAAGAAGAAAAGTAAACAAATAGCTAAAATTGTTATTAGTATTCTAATTATGTTTATGATTGGTACAAATATCTATGATCCAATTTATCGACGTTTAATTGATGAAGAAAATGAAGATGAGAAACGAACATGGTGTATTGTTACTTATCCATCGAGTTTACAAACATTCAACTCTTTTATGCAAACATTTCACTTTTTAGTACCATTTCTTATTAATCTCATATCAGCTGTTATTCTCATAATAAAAAAATCTCGTCAACAATCAAATGTTCGACCTAATCGAGCTTATAAACAAATATTAAAACAACAAATTCAAAAACACAAACATTTAATTACTGCTCCTGTTATATTAGTTATTCTTGGAATACCACGTTTAGTTATTTCATTTATATCACAATGTATGAAATCAACGAATGATGCATATTTATTTATTGCTGGATATTTTGTTTCATTTATTCCACCTATGGTTACATTTCTTGTATTTGTATTGCCATCAGAATTTTACAAAAAACAACTTTATGCTTCTCTCACTACTTTTCGAACTACAATACAACGATATTTACAACGTATCAGATAAAAGTAATTCAAATATGTGTTTTTTAACAATACTTTTGTGTCCATTTATATCCATGCTTTCCAACTTTCTGCATCTATTTAAACTTTTTCTCCATGTCTAAATGAACTATTCCAGTTGACTATTTTAGAATTGTCAAAACCGTAGAATATAGGAGCAATATCTTGCGAGAATAAAATTTTCTATTCGAAATTGGAAATATAAGATATATTTCTCTGATGTTTTGCATTCAGTAACTATATAATGTTCTACACAGTTACGAGACGCTGAGAGTCTATTGTATATAAAATTTTTGTTAATGATTAGAAGAAATTTTTTTGAGATTCATTCTGACGAGATCGACTCGGTCTTAATATTAGATATATAGTTACATATCTTCCATAATATAGAAATTTAATACAGATATATATTTTTTTTTGTTGCTTCTCATACACAAGATACGACGTTCAAATGTATGAAAAGATTTCAATATTCTTGCTTGTTTCTCAAAAGAAAAGTTTAACAACGAAAAAAAAATCTACTTCTTCAGAAATCACTATCGTAACATTTAAGGTAAATTCTATCGTTACTCATCAATTAAGAACTGAGATAATATTAATTTATTATCGTGACAATGTTTTTATGTCTAATTTTTGCTATGAAATTCAATTCGTATCGAATAAAAAATGTATACAATTTCTATTTTAGCTCATAGATTCGTGTATTTCAAAACGACCTTATGAAGATGAATTCAATTTGAACAATATTGTTGTTGTCTATATTGCTTTTCATTAAATATTATATTTGTCTCATGGGTGAAGACATTCGCTTTATATGTCTGTAAATCAAAACTACTCTCATGCTTTAATTTTATTTTAATCCTATTTATCTTTGTAAATAAAAATTATCGTTGACTTGTGACAGATTCCTCTAGAAATGCTTTGCTAAATATTATTATATGATTTTTAAATTCTCATCTTATATATATATATATTCATGTTTGAATTAATCAGCGAAGTTGAAATGATAATGGAGAAACTCATTGAGTATATTTTGTTTTATCCCCCAAGAAACGATCTATAACCTGCAATGACTTAATAAGCAGGATTTTCTACGAGCACATCAATTAGTTATAAAGAATTTTAATAAATTTTAGTAGCATTTTTTTTGCTTTTTCCCAGTGTTTTGAGAATATTCTAAAATCTACGTATATATCAAATATATTACAGAAACATTAATCTTTCTTTTTTATATTTGATCTCTTATTGGTATGTAATTCCAAACTTTCTTTCATAAACACAAAACTTTTGCTTCTAAAAGCATGGCAAAGGTAGCTAAAACTATATGAAAAACTTACTACTATTTTCTCTCAGGTAACATAACGAAAAATAAAGAAAAAAACGAGGAGAACTATAAGAATTAGACATGTGCATATGAATACTTCATCATCTTATTCGCAGTCGCATCCTTATCGAGGGTGTTGCTGTGGTTACGGGCTAGTTGGTGAACGTGGCCTCTCTCTTCACTTAAATCCACACCCCACATCGACAATCACACCCACACTCACTAAAAGATTAGTATTAAAGAAATGAGTCAATTATCATTTGGAACTCTTATTGTTTTGAAAACATTTCTTTTTAATAACAATTGACTATACTCAAATAGACGAGACTATAATTGAAATTCTTGTTAAAAAATAAGAATCTCATCCATTCGCTGAATTAATTGAAAATTGAGATCTTATTTTTTTATTCAATGAGAGGGTTTCGCAAGGGGGAAACGGCGGACTTTTGGACTTGAAGTTACTTTGAGCTACTTCAAGTTACTTTCAGCTACTTGAAGTAGCTTACTTTGAAGTACTTTTCAACTTCAAATTTACCTGAAGTTACTTGAAGTTACTTTAAGCTACTTATTCCTACTTTGGACTACTTGGGTGGTACTTTGAGCTACTTCAAGTAGTCTACTTTCACGTACTTCGGCGTACTTTTCTACTTCAAGTCCGCCGTTTCCCCCTTGGGGTTTCGTCTGGATTATTTCACAGAAAAATTTATTTGTTTAGTTATGGATCAACAAATTGATATAAAAGTTAATGAAATGGTTAGGAATGCTGTTGAAAAACATTATTTACTACCTCAAAATCCAAAATGATTATAGCTCTATAAAAACTGCATATTATTGCTTAACAAGTTGTGGACATGCAAAGTAATCGATAAAGGGTGTTTTTTTTGTTCTTTAGGCAATGTTCATTGATCATCTTCCATGAAAAACTTGTCTCAATTTAGCTAATCTTTATGATTATTTGAGCTGAAATATTTAAAAGACAATCGTTTTTAGCGTCGCAAATTAACTAAATTTGAAATAGCTGAAAACTGTTTTTTAAATGTACTTGGCATAATCATTTATATTTATCTTCAACACGTACAGATATTGAAAATATTTATCATCTTCGAGGAAATATTCTCAATCATAAGAATATCATTTAGAAGTATGAAATATTCGAGAAAAGTTTCTTCTTTGAAATCATCTGGAAATTGACCAATCCTCTATGGAAGTTGCTTTAAATTATTATCGTTAGAATTAAATGATCATTCTATTTCGTTATTTAGTAGAACATAAAGTCTTTTAATTAAATTAAATAAAATATCTAAAAATGATTCATGATTTATTTAAATTGAAGATGCATTTATTGTTTAGTAAGAAAACTAATTTGTTTTTTTTTGACGTTCATTTCGTTAATTGGAAGACAATCATTCTTCTCAGATTTCGTAGTCATATGATTCTTCATCAGATTAAATCAATATCAGACATTTAGATAATTGTGAATTCCTACTGAAGGAAAAATTGGTCTAATACTGAGATCCCTACTCAAGAATTTTTTTCAATAAAAAATGAATCTGTAGAATGATTTTGCCTTCTTCAAAATCCTTAGATTCATCACAATAGATAACTTAAATAGCGAACTCTTCTAACACTAATGACTGTTGCTTATCGATATTTTAGTTATTTTAACATAAAGAAATCGACTGTAATGCATATGGTCTTTGTTCTAGTCAATATATAAGGACAATTGCATTCTTGAGGGTGTGGGTGGGTGCGGGTAGGTGGGTGTGGATGTGGATGTGTGCGTGTGGGTGCGAGTTTGGGTGTGGGTGTGGGTGTGGTATAGGCTTGGCTGAGTATGTGTGATGATATTCATTTTGTCTAGGGTGTGGGTGTAACAGGTTGTGTAGACGAAATGAATATCATCACACATACTCAGCCAAACCTATACCAGACCCACACACCCACGCCCACACCCTCTTTGGAACGGAGAAAGATTTTTTTTGGATGTTACTGTACTCTATGAGATGAAAAAAAGAACAAATTTTTGTCATAAATGCCTTAGTTTTCATTGATTTATAGCAATAACGAAAAATTTAAAATATCGCTCTACATATTGTGTTAATATAGCTTTTTTTGAACTTTCTATAAATAGTTTGTATCAACAAAGTATATGAAACGAACTTCTTTTATTTGTCAAATTATTTCCTCCACCCCATTCGTTCGTATTCAATAAAATTTCTTGAAATTGCAAGCCGATGATTTTTGTCACGCTCTATATAAAAATGGAGAAGTGTCTTCACGTCTATTGTTGATAATTTTCCATTCATAAAACTTTGTGTAGAGCTAAAACGAATGATCTATTCTGAAAGCTCGCGACCAGTTCTACAAGTCTAGCTGCATGTAGGTTGAAAAAAACCTCTCACTGTACTAAAAAAGAATGCTTCCCTTCGGCTAGATATCGTTGAAAAGCTAGGTATTTGATATTGTTGTCATGATTTCTCGAAAACTTAAGCAGATAGGAAGTTGATTTTTTCAGAAGTGAATGATCATCTCTCTACCAATAAAAAAAAGCAAATTATCAAAATCGATTGAGTAGAATTCGACTTATAGACATTTTTCTTTTTGAAACCCAACGGTACTATGAGCGCGCTCTTCACTCCTATGCTTTATATATATACTCCAAGCGGTTATGGCACTGTGAAAAAACAAGATAACAGAATAAACAAAAATAAAAATAAAAATTTCTTGCCGAATTTTTTTTTCTCACAAAGTAAATATAAGAATGAGAAATCATTTTTGCAAGATGGATGAATATTCTTTTAAAATAAATAGACAGTTACATTGAACCGACTATTGTTATAAATGAATGGCCTGAATCGAAAATAAACCCGATTGGGAAAAAGTATCATTGATTGATTCATTTAATGCGAGCAACATTGTCGTTCGACTATATGTTTCTATACGTTATCTTTGTGGAGAAAAGTTTATTTTTTGTGTACATATAAGAGACAAGAGAAACGATAATGAAGACAATAGTACCATACTATCACACGTGAATGATTGAGATATTAAAGTCACGTGGTTATATATGATATGATATATATTAACCCTTTACCTCCCCTCCTTCGATTGACAATTGGAATTACCATTTTGTTGAATGATTGCAGAAAATAAAGAAAGCATGGGATTTGAAAACAGTAAGAACATTTTTTGTAGTGAACTGTATGAGCTATCAATTGTTAAAAAGAATAATTTTTTTCATCGGTTCTTCTTTGAAATATTGAACCAACAAAATTGATCATTTTAGAAAGAATGGAATTTTTCGAAAGAAATCGTTCTCTACTTACATTAGACAAAGATCTTTCGGATTTTCTTTGTGACATAAATTGATGAAATTGTCTACTAGTAAGTTAGATATGTTTTGAATGCAGTGCGATAACTTGACGAAATGCACACCCTAACATAATAAGTGACCGAGGAGCCATTATGAACCATCTTTAGGACAATCAAGAGAAATGGTAATACATGTACTATAAATCTCAGCTCATGAGACGTTAGAATAGCATTTATTTTGAATTGAATGCCTTCAGAAAATATTAAACGGTAGATACCTATTTAAGAAAATGTGCTAAAACCGAATGCATTCATTTGGCATTAATTTTTATCGTTTTATTCCTTCCGTTTTCCATTACTCCAATAAG